CCATCACCTACAGCTAAATCAGTGTCATCATCTGCCTTTTGACCCACTTAGAGTTTATAAAAGAGTCCATAAAGGTGCAGACAACTCTGATTTAATTACATCTCTTACTCCTCCCTTTACGTGTGCAGTCCTACCTGACCCAGCTTCCTCTTCAGGGCGGTGACCTCCTTAGGATTAGAAAAAGTTATGTCGAGGCCAGGAGAAATTGCATACACGAAGTCAACGTTGTGTTGTTTGGCCGCAGATATCAGGGCAATGAGTTGTTCTGAAGAGATGAGAAATCTTTTACAAAAATGCCATTTAATATGAAGTCAGCTATGCATAAGTTCCCAGTTTGGATTCATAGACATGAGCTATGATAACCCAAATCAGCTCTTAACCATTGCAACTATTTGTGAGCCACTCAAGATTATTTGTTTAGACCATAGACTTTCTTAAAGTCACGATACAGTCAATAAGACATTTGATTTATTTAAAGGTAATCATCACCACCCTTCAGTATGATAATGGACTTAAATTGACTTGAGCTTGTATAGCGCTTTTCTAGTCTTCTGACAACTCAAAGTGATTTTACACCGCATGTGTGTGACATGGGGTGTAAAATCCCTTTCACCCACATTCACACACTGATGGTAGAGGCTGCTATGTAAAGTTGCCATCAAAAGTAACTAATCCCATTCATACACATTCATACACAGCGGACGAGGCAGCGGGAGCAACTTGGGGTTAAGTGTCTTGCCCAAGGACACATCGGACACGTTGCTGCAGGAGCTGGAGACTGAACCCCTGACCATCCAGTTGAGAGACGACTGAATCTAATAATGTCTAATGATTGATAAGAAGCCAAAAATTAAAAAAGTGGAGGGGTTCCAATCTAAGCAATCTAACTCTGTTTTAAAGGAGATAATGATTGCTCAGAGTGGGACTTTGTTATTACACAGATGAAAAAGTTAGAAATAACTACTACTGACATTTGTGACAGCAACCTTCTTTAAGCACGTGATTGAAAAGATGAATTTTCATTAAAAACCTCTTAAAGCCTTTTTGGAGCTCATATAGAGGCTTCAGTATTAAATAAAGCTTAATATTTCTCACAGGAGATTTGAAATGTAGATGTTTTAAATAATTATTATTTATTATGATTCAATACAGGAGGAGACATTTATCTCAGATGGCACTTAGGGTTAAATATTAAAATCCAGGAATAATTGTAACAAATCACAGTCGAAACGAACGATGTAATCAGTGATCAAATGTAATTTGAGTAAATACAGGATTCAGGATCCTGCTCAGAAACTGTTTACCATCCGGTGGATGTTTGATTATTGGGTGTATGCAGACAGGTCACCCTCAGATGTGCAGGGGAAGGACTCACCAGCCTCCTCAGGTGAGTACAGATCCCTCCAGTACATCCTGTGTTTGTAGTCATCCTTGGGGGCGTACAAGTACGTGTTCAAACCCCACTTCTGTTCTCTGCAACGCACCAGAAACAAACAACCACATCAATGTTTTACCAAAGTAAAATTCCTTGTGTGTTTAAGCAATAAAGCTGATTCTGATTCTGATGTTTTGTTAGTTAAAGTTAGACATAAGATCATTGTGTGTTTTAATATGGGTATATGTGACACCTGACCACAGTCATTTTAGCACAAATAATAAGTAGATACATGTTGTTTGTTCAGTGTGGTAACACTGCTACACAATCTCAACACTATCCTTTTCTTTTACAGGATCTGAAAAAAGTAAACATAGCAAATGTAACTTCCTGGACAGTCATTGTTTTTTCCCCTAGTGTACTGATAGTGGGAGTTTATTATGAGACTTACTTAAGAGGCCACATACCTTTTAAACAGCTCTGATCTTTGCTCCATAGTCCATGGCCGCCCATAAAAACCTGCATCAAACAGCAAAGGGCAACAAATGCAACAGATGAAGTGAAACTACAGGGAGCTTTACCATTAATACATATATATACACACATATATATATACATGTTTGAAATCCTGACTGCACTTTCACAATATACATCTGAAGATCATTCTATCTGTATGCTTGCAGTCTTTTGTGGTTGTTTACATACTGATAGACCTGTACTTTTACAGTGGATGCAAAGTGATATCTGGACTCTGATCATCCAGTTTGGCGCCCCATGGTCCTGGTCCTGGTCTGCTCACCTTCCACTACTCCGCCGATGAACCGCCCCGGTTGCGCCTTGGCACAGCTCGGTGTTGACATGGTTTCTGTGAGGGTGTGGGTTTGTCTTCTTCCTCTCAGTCTTTATTTACAGTCCTCTAATGCTCAGACAATAAGCTCCAGCACTGCGATATACTAAATCACAGCTCTGTATGCCAGCGTTTAATGTGAATGTCTTTTATTGCACCCTTCTCTCACGCCTGCGCAAAACCAGTGTGTATCGATAATTACGTAACATGATGCCTACATGGTCAAAAGTTGTAAATACTATCTCAGCGAATAAGGAAAGCAGCGCTTCTTGTTTTGTGATGACAGATCACCTCAAGCTTCAGACGCACGTTGACCACGTTGACTGAAAGCGTGAACGTCTTAAAGGGCCAGTGACCAACAGTCTTAAAGGGCCAGCGATCAACAGTCTTAAAGGGCCAGGCACACACCAACGATCAATCAATCAATCAATCAATCAATCAATTTTTATTTGTATAGCGTCAACTCATAACAAGTGTTATCTCGAGACACTTTACAAAAAGCAGGTAAAATACCTTACTCTTAGTCTGTTAACATTACAAAAGAGCAGGTAAAAAGACCTTACTTATTGTTATGTTACAAAGATCCGGCCTATCCATCATGAGCACTTTAGCAAAGCAGCTAAAGTTACAGTGGTAAGAAAAAACTGCCTTATTAAAAGGCAGAAATCTTGGGCTGGATCCCCGACTCATGACGAAACAGCCTTCACAGGCCTAGACTGCACCGGACTTGGAAAGGGATAGGGGGAGAGATGGGATAAGATGCAGGAAGAGGGATAGGGAGCAAGGGGGTGGGGGGAGACAAGCCGTCCATCAACAATCCGGTGGGGTGGGGGTTGTTCTGGCAGGCCGTCAACCAACGATCTCGAGGAGCCTAAGAGAGCTCAAGAGCTCCCAGGAAAGTCAGTGGTTAGGGACTGAGAACGATGTATTTCCCTGCACAGCATGAATGAATGTATTGCAAAGTTTAAAGCTGTTGCTAGTTTTCCACCCTTGTCCCTAGTTAAGGTACATATATAGTGCAATAAAAAGTGTATTCAGGATGTATTTAAATCTGATCAGGAACATGCATTTTCAGTATTAGAAAAAACACCATCCAGGGCAGAGAAATCTCTCGTATGCCTGCTTTACTGTAACACCAGACTGTATGATATCAGGTTATTTCACTTATTGCATTATTTTATTTTAAACAATTTTATACAGTCAAGCAACGTATTGTTTCAACTGTATTTGTGTATATTGTTAGTTGTTTAAATTATTTGTCAGTGTTATATTTCATCCACTCTTTCATTGTCTAAACATCTTAATTCATAACGTAGCTATTCACTAAGCTGTCAGATATTTTTAAGTGCAGTAAAAAGTACAATATTTACCTTTGTGATGTTTCCAAAGACAAAGCTCAGGTTGGCCTGAAAGTAAAGTTCAGGTACCTTTACACCTTACCTTATGTAAATTTCAACAGTGTAATGTATTTGGTGTTTTTTTTTTTACAACCACAAATTATACCTTAACTTTCAGTAGAGGCCATTTGTTCTGCAACTAGAAGAGTCTGTTATCTGCTGTGGGTGGAAGTCTGCCACATCTGGAGGTGTTCAGACTGTTCCTTTGGTCACATGATCTGGGGGTATTTGTGACCATAATTTACATTTGACTGATCTTTAAGCAGAGAAAGCATAACCCTGCAACTACTAAGTCCAGAATGAAGAAGAGTCAGAATTAAAGTTATTCGTTGCACATTGTGTTTGACGTGTCATCATGAAACAGAAGGAGCAGAAAGTAACCGGTCAACAAGATTAAGATTAAGATTAAGATTAAGATTAAGATTAACTTCATTGATCCCCGCAAGGGGAAATTTCAGTTTTTACACTCTGTAAGTCATTAACACACACATAGGCTGAAACATACACACACATGCAGAAACAGGATCCTATGGACATGCACTAATGGAGAGAAGCCAGAGTGACGGAGCTGCCCACAGCGGGCGCTCCTGAGCTGGTGGTGGGGAGGGGGTTTGGTGCCTTGCTCATGGGCACCTCGGTAGTGTTCAGGAGGTGATCTGGCACCTCTCCAGCTACCATACCAACTTCCATATTTGGTCATCTGAGGTAAGGCAGGATGAAGTGTTGCATGTGCCAGATGTAGATCCATATTTCGTGTCAGTAGGGATGTAACGATTCACTCAACTCAAAATGAGAGTGAAGACAAATTATGAGATGACTAACAAAGATTCCTTAGATTTTTTCATTAAACACCAATGCACCTTGTAATCTTGTTAAGTGTGGTTTGGCCTCCACAGCTGCCATGATTACGCCTGCTTGTTACAACCAACTGCCTCTACTCTACAGCTGCTGACGCTCACGATATTTCTGCGATTAATTTTTCTGAGTACCGAGGTGAACCTCAACACCTTTGAAACGATTTTTAACTGCCTCACGATGAATCTTTACATCCCTACATGTCAGTGCTTTGTTATTTGATCAGATGTCTTTAAGAATAGAGCATCATTCCAACAGCTGACTCTTTAAAGGAAGCTGCTGAGGATCTGAGCACAGCAGAGAAAGGAGTTCAAAGACTTAAAGCATGTACATTAAAAGACACTAGATTTTTTTAAGGGTATGTGAGGTCAGGATAAATGCCCCGCAGAGCAAATTGACTAGACTTAAAAGAGAGCTTTACTACAGGACCATAGAAACATATCTAAACACCATATCAAAGTGGAACAGTACATGCTGTCTCACTGCTTTGGTTCCTTTGGATGTAATAAAAAAACATAAACTAAAGTTTCAAGGAAACACAATAAACAACCCTTTATTGTTTTTTATATACAAATATATCAAACTTCATCATGTTAAGGAATGAAAGGATTACATTTTTTGGGTCCTAATCATAACGTGTTATCAAATTAACAGTGCTACATATTTGTACATATAGACGGCATATGTTAATAACTCCATGCAAATATCCAAGAACGAAAGATGTAAAAAAAAAAGTGAGAGCCTGAGGCTCTAAAAATCGTCCTTTAGTTTCTGCCTCATCCAGCTTGTTCTTTTGTCCTGACATATCTCCGCTACCTCTTCAATCCGTTCTGCGCCTGTTTCAGCAGCGAATCAAAGTCCAGGTCTTCAAACCTGGTCTTAGCAGGAGACGGTTCTGCGTCTTTGTTTGCATCTGAGGAAAAGAAGATCTTTATTGTTTCACACGAAAAATACAGGAGATACACCAGAGACTGATACACATGTTAGAAAGTTGTCTATAGTATTGTAGTCTGGCAATTAACACTTTGAAGTCCACATTGTGGATATCCAACAAATTAGCAGAGGAATTGTTCCAAACTTTTACTCTTAACTTAAATTCATCAACACAAAGTGGACTCAACAGGAAACTTCAACTCTACTGACTCGTTGTTTTTTTTGCTAAAACTTTGAGTTCCCATGACCTGTATGACTCAGAAACTTCACAGTCTCCTCGTTAGTTGGATTTGTTCTGGGATGACTCTTTACTTTTATGTTTAAGGGCCTGTGTCCATTAATGGCAACTTTTGAGCTGGCAGCGCCCTCTTTCAAAACAAAACCAATGCAGGCAAGAGTTTGAAAACGGACTCAGCGGTCACTTCAGAGGGAGGTAGAAGTGCTTCGAGCCTACTTCTGTAACTCAGCAACAGTAAGTACTGGTGAGACTGATACAAGGTTGTGAGCACAAAAAAAGCTGTCAATGGACACAGGCCCTGATAATGCAAAATTAATACTCAACACCCAATTCTGAAAAAAAGAGCAGGAGAATTCATTAGAATCTACACGTGCTGTTTTTTTGGACATGAATGGTACTGCTTTCAAAGGTATTTAAAGAAAAAAACAGAATAGTTTGACTTAAAAAGAAAACAGAAAATGTGTCCCAGTATTGCAAGTCTCACCAAGGTCAGCGTAGTCAGAGTTACAGAACTGTCTTCTTCCACCAAAGCAGATTTCAAAAGGAAGCTCGTCAGCCTTCCGTAGTTTCCCGCCATTATCAATGGCTGCAAATGCATCTTCTGTGTTGTAGAAAGTGACAAAGCCGTAGTGGTCACTATGGAAACAAAATATGCAGAGTTAATCATGGACATATAATGGGTCAGAAACACTGTTAAAGCAAAACAAAAATGTTAAAGCGTGCATACTCACCCTCTGTCTCTAAAGTGAAGTGACACACATTCCACTTCTCCAAACTGAGAGAAGCGCTCCCTCAGTTCATCGTGGGTCATAGACCTGAAGATGCGGCCGACGTACACCACCCTGCGCTCGTCCTGTATGAAAGGATGTTTATAAGTACTCATTACTTGAGCAGAAAAAACAAAAACACATGAGCTGAGATGAGATAATTGTTGACATACAATAGCTTTCAGTTTCTGGATCCTGATCTCATGCTCTCTCCTGAGACGTCTCGAATCTCTGCTGCTGCAAAGTGGGATTATTGAAACACACGAGACTCAGATTATAGAGAGAAAACAATATGTGAAATTTACAAATAAAGGGATGTCTACTTTTGATTTTTCTCTAATGAAACTTGAAAAAAATCATCAGATGTAGACTCACCTGTAAACATCTCTCCTGTGGCAAACCCTTGGTGATGGTGATCTGGATCTGGACGGAGACCTAGACCGTGACCAAGACTGTGACCAGGATCTGGACCTGGACCTACTGCATCTTGATCTAGAGCAAGACCACCTGCTACGTCTGGGTGGAGAGCGAGAAATTGATCCAGAGCAAGATGACGAACATGAGCTGCTCTCTGAACGTTTGTGACGTCGCCTGCAAGACAAAAACCAGGGATTAGAAATGCAACACTAAGAGGACCATGATAAACTGGTGTTGGACACAAACATGGAGAGGTGATTACTTTTGTCTTTTTGGAGAGCGAGACGCAGAGCTGGAGGAGGATGACGATGATGAGGAACAAGAGCTGGAGCTGGAAAGAGGAGATCTTCTTCGGTACCTCCTCTTCTGCCTCCCTCTGATGGGAGGGCTGGGTGGAGGTGTAGGGAGGGTGCAGGGCGGCATCCTGTCTTCAGCTTCTGAAATACAGTTTTTGACTGCAGCAGATTTGTCAGACAGCGACGTTAGTTCATCTGTGGGTGGGTTTGTTTCTGATCTGGGTCTGGGTTCCTCGGCTGGATGCTGCATCACAGACTTATCAGAGGTATTAGCATCCCTGATGGTGGAGTCAGCTCCACCTGTGGAGGTCAGATTGTTCCATTCAGCAGCATGTGTAGTCACCTGAGATTTATTATCCTCCAAAATAGAGAGTCTTCTACTCTGAGTAGCACATGAAGGTGAGCGGTCTGACCCGCAGTAATCATGGTCAGAGGATATATACGAGTACATGTGAGCAGCAGGGATCTCAGGGAGGTTGGCGTGGGTCTTCCTAGACGGCAGAGGTCGGGGGTCGATTATCTGAATGACCTTGGGTGGAGGATTCTTGCGTCTTGCAGGCAGAGCTTGCTCAGTGCTGAGGACGATTTCAGTGCCGAGGGGTTCAGGGATGGCCACACTCTCCGATGTTTGAAGATTCAGTGGATTCCTGAGGGTTGAGTCTGAAGAGCTTAAATGTTGATGTGTTTCCAAAGGGGGCGTTAGTGGAGTCTCGTTCAAGTTTCCATGGGTCTGTAGGTTTGAAGGTGAGGTAGCAATAACAAGTTTGGACTCCACTCTCTCCTCCTTAGCTAAAGGGGGGGGAGATTTTAAAAAAGACGTTTAAGAAGAGGAGACATGAGCATCCAACAATAGTGTCATCGGTCGTCTGATCACTCACCTTGTGTTTCCTCAAACTGTTCCAGCAGGCTAGTAACATCCGCTGCTTCAATACCTGATGAAGAGGGTCAATAAGAGACACGATAAGATTACTTTTGGAGATGCTTTTAATGTCTCAGGAACTAATGAAATCAATATCACAGAGAGGGAGTGATGTTGAAGTGAACATCAGCACTGCTGTGAGTAAGTTGTAGCCACAAGGACGCAGCCGAGCGCTGGATTGTGATATCTAGTACATCTCTATTTCCAGTGCGATGTTGCATTTATACAATAGTTCAACGACCATCATATAGTAGAAAAAAACAAAAAACAGATCATACTTTTTTGCTCCACTGAATCAACTGGCTTCACATCTCAACGGAAACTGACCTGTTGCCAAGCAATCCAGTCTCCTGCGCTCTACTTTGCTTGTGTCCATGGTTACCACTTAGCAGCTATATTTATTTTCAGTACTAGCCAGATCAATCAGGAGAACACTTTGGTAGTCCCAGTGCTGATGTGCTCAATATTAACACTCTTTAAATGCCTTGTCCAATCAGACTACTCAGCTGGAACTAACTGGTGTTTCTAAGAAAAGCTGGGAACCCCAAGGACCCAACCGGGAAAAACTATATGTGCTCGACAGAGATGAACTTTAATCCTAAAAGTGTGATCATCTCCAGCATGAGGCAGTGCTGATTTTCAGGACATCATTTCCTCCTACCTAAACCCTACATTGTTTTAGCATCATCCCTCCATATGTCAATTGAACACATGCAGCTTTAGCCACTTCATAGTGTCAGATTTAAGAACAGTTTACCTGAGTCAGCTGAAGCACTCTGCACTCTACAGTCAAACTGAAGAAGAGGTGATAGCTCCTTCGGTGGAGATTCCCTGGAAGGAACCTCTGCCAATGTCTCCTTCAAAGGTACATCTATGGGAACCAGCATCAGACTTGGTGATGGGTCAGTCTTTGGTTTTATGCATTTCTGAGGTTGAGGTTTCTTCTCCCCTGAAGAAGACTGGATTTGCGTTGTGGTTTGGCACAAAGCTTTAGATCTACAGGAGACGGCTGAGGCCATCGCAGAACACTTGTTGAGGATTTCTGTGTTGAGTGAAAACATTTCAGGCTTTGGTGTTATGGAGGAGGGCTGTCTTTGTGGAAAAGTACCTGAGGATTCATATTGGATTTCCTGAACGGGCCTCGGCGGGTTTGAGTCTCTGTTGAGGAACTCCGCTTTGGACCCAGATGAGGAGTGGTCGGTTGATGATGTAGGTGATGTAGTTTGGGTGACAGGCAGTGGGAGGAAGACTGGGTTTGGGGGATCAATACTGAGAGTAGTACGTTTCTTTACTGGACTTCTTTTACTATCCGGTACATTTACATTTATGTCAGCAGAGACACTTGCAGGTGAGGTGCTTTCGGTCCTTGAGCGCTTTAATCCACTGCCACACTGATGGGTGGAGGGTTTGGCCTCTGAGGGGTGAGGCCTGGGCGGAGCAGAGGTGTGATGTGTTTTGTAAACAGGAGTTTGAGCTCTATGGAGGTGATCAGCATCATTACTTTTTACATCTGGGTGGTGTTGTGCTGCCTTTGGTCCACAGTTGATTTGAACTTGTCCATGTAAACAGAGGATGGGGGTCAGCTCTTTTGGGGGCTCGGGAACAGAGGGCCACTTGGTGGTGTTGTTCCCCAGTTTCTCCACCAGGGGCTGCCTCTTTTGGCGCAGTTGTCTGTACTGTTGCAGGCTGAGGGATTTAGCCTTTGTCTCAACTTTAAGTGGCAAAACATCAGCCTTATTCGCGCCTGATGTCGAGTTTTGGTGTTTAAGTGTTGGACCAGCTGGATCTTCAAGAGCTTTTGATACAATCTGACTCTTTAAAATCTTTTCATCCAATACTTTTTCCTCGGATTCATCAAATGAAGCCACTTGAACGGGGCCAAAGCTCACCCTCTTCTTCTCTCTGGCTGCCGGAGTTTTGGATGAGTTCCCATTCAACAACATACTCTTCCTCACTTTCCCATCATCTTCCTCTTCTTTCTTCTTCGCCCCCTTCACGGTGACCTCATCATCAGACACAACATTAATCTCTTCATCGCTCTCTTCAGAGGGTCTCTCGTACTTCCACACCTCCCCCTGAGAGAATAATGTGTGATCTTGCCTCCCTTTGCCCCCCTCCTCCTCCACATGCAGCTTCAGACAGTACGAGTGCATGATCCTCACCAGGTTGACCAGAGACGAGGAGGTGAAGACCTCAACTTCAGCTTCTGCTTTCTTGTTCTTAGACAATTCACTTTGGTGTTTGAACATCTTTTGAGGGCTGTTTCTCCCTCTCTTGCTCTCCTCTTCTTTATCTACTTCAATCTTAATTGCACATTTTACATCTGTGGATTTGGATCTTGATCTAAGTCTCTCAACGAGTGAAAGTTCCTGAAGAGAGGAATAATAGACAAACATGTTCAATCTTTGGCGACTAAATCTTTACAGCAGAATGGGTCTTTTTGTAAATACATAATAACTTCACTTCAGTTTATAGACATGTAAAGCCGTTTTCCAAAAACGACAGGCACACTGCCCCTGAAATCTTCCTGATTTGCTTGTTCACACATTCATCCTAACAGCAGGAGACTATCCCTGTCAGGAGGAACTGAGTGTGCACTCACCACTGAGTTGTCCCTACGCTCCGGGTGTGAGAGGAGCTTTGTGTCTGGCAGGGTGTCAAAGGGAGACAGGGTCCCGTCATCATCCTCCACACTGTCAAGCATCTCTGTCAGGGCTGACAGCAGGGTCTCACTCTCCTCCTCAACTGCATTCTTATCCTGATAAGTCAAAAACACACGATTTATTGATTCATAAGCCAGATTCATATTTTGAAAATATGTGATCAGGGTCATTAAGGTAAAAAAAAAAAAAAAAAAAAAAAATCATGACAGAAGTGAAGATAAAATGTCCAAAGGCAACACAATAGTTTAGAGTGACGATCTGGTTTAATTCTGACCTGTGATGTCACAGTTGAGTCTTCAAAAATGGCCAGGATTGAGTGATCCACACAGGACTGCTCGTCCATCTCAATGACGTCCACATCATGTTGTCTTAAAACCACCTGAAAAGGCAAAATAATTAATAATAACAATATATGGGGTAAATTAAATTAAAGCGACATTCTCTCTATATCTGACAAAAAAATATTTTCAGCCACGTCTATAAAAGTCATGAATGTCGTGAAATGTCGGTAGCTTAGTGCAGGAGTTCCCAAACATTTCAGCTCAGGATCCCCCAAAAAACTGTGCTAGAGAGACTGGGGACCCCCACTGTTCTCATTTATGAAATTTATTGTAAGAAAGGTAATCTCTATGTATAAACTGTAAGACTGAGTGTATATACACAATTTAATAAACAGACACACGGGTGATGTCTGTGTGTATTATAATTTACATTGTTGCAGTTATGTTCAAACTTACATACATACATACATACATATGTACTTTAATTTCAGCATTGATGTTATAATTAACTATAGTTGTATTTATCAATCAACTAATTTCTTTTATGTATTTTCACAATAATTAGTCAAATGTGATTTTTGAAATCATTAAAAAAATGTATATGATCATGGAAGGCATCTTGGGACCCCCCTCAGCTTAAGTCCTGTAGAGTAGTCGGCCCAGGTTCAAATCCAACCTGTGGCTCCTTTACAGCGAGTCACTTCTCAAAGCACCTCTCCAAAATCTAACACATTAACCTCAACCTTTAAAACCATTACTCGCTCATGTCAAGAGGGACTGTTGTTTCCAAACAGCATGTTTATTTCACCCAACTTATCGAGTATAAAACTCCTCACTTAGAAAAGATAAATGTAGTATAAATGTATCAGTGACTTTATATGGACAAAGTTTAACATCTGCATAATGACACAAGCAAATGGGCTGTTTAATATCAGTAAGGTTACTCTTCTAAAGTCTTGAGGACAAAACGATTCAAGCAGGGACACAGAGGGGACATGAGGCCATAGAGGCAGGTCGCCATCCTGGGAACAGGCTACACCAGCAGCAGGGTGAGGGTCTTCACTGTGACGTAATGGGAGACGGAAAAGCAATAAATGTGCATGCCCCCCAGTTAGAGACAAAGACCCAACCTTAAACACATCAAACTAATGAGTAAGTGTTGAGGAGATAATAAGGAGGTCGGTGTAGAGAGAGGGCTAAAGGGGTGCAGCCTCATCTGAACATCCTGTCCTTAACAGGAAATGCACCAGCCTCTCTCACTTTCACACATTCATTTACTGACGGTAGAGATTACCACGATTCAGTTCACCAGACAGAACACTAACACACGGGTATTGGCGCTGGATAAACCGAGTTAACAGCGGCTCGGTGGACTCCCCGGTCACTACCTCAGTACTACTACTACACCGTGTAAGCCACGTGTCGCCATGCACGCATGTGGCCTCGAAACAGCCTCTATTAAAACATGAAAACCTGCTCGCCTTCGGCCACGTTGATGTCAAATGAGCTGAAATGAGAAACCCAGTACCTCATTGTGAGTGTTGCTGGTCAGAAAGTCCCGTTTACAGGCATTTAGATCCCCGTCTTTCCCTTTCCACCGCGCCGCCATCTTGCTGCACCACATGGTCTACTACTGGCAGGCCGGGACGAGACACGTGGGCACCGGCGACAAGCACCGACCTGGGATCAGATAGTCTCCGCCAAATTCATCCGTGAGAGTGAGGAGATGAGTAGAAAACGTATCCCAGGTCAGCTATGTGGATTTCGGCTGTTAACCATTGGTTTCATATCATTTTACTTTAAAAACTTGCTTTTTGTTATATTCTAAAATAAGAAATGTACTCAAACAGTTTTTTGTATTAAGTAGAAAATAATTGAAAATACTTTATTGTTCAGTTTTACATGCAGGGGCATAAATGTGTCTTTGGCTTGCCTGTGCAAATATTAATTTAACCAGGGTAGCACATTCAAAAAGAAATAAGAAAATACAACATATACAAAATTAAGTTAGAATGAAAAAAAAAACACATTTTGTTGTAGGCCTACTTAGTAGAAAAAGGTGAGTATACTGATTGAGGAAACATTTTTTCCACCTCTCATACATCTATCACATTTAAGTAACGCGTGCTGCTGTTTTCACATTTTGTTCGCAGTGTCAGTTTAAAGTTTCATGATTGGGAGTTACTGAAAAATGTTTAATTCATTTAATTTCTATTAAAGTTTTTTACTGCTCGACAGCGACGTCTAGTGTCTTAATGACCAAACAACAAGTTCTCTTTAACAAATAGACATGAGCCATATAATCTCGCTTCACTGTTATTCATTCATCTGACAAATATTTCCAACTTTTGGAAGTCTTACATGAAGGATTTTTTTTTTTAGATATTGTTTTTATTGATTAAAATCACTCCATATCAGCAGATTCTGCTCAGGCTGCAACACAATATGAAATTAATGATGTCTTTGGACCTGTTTTTCCCCTTTATAGCAGCAGGCTTCGATAGAGAGAGCACTTACAGTCTAACTGGGAATTACCTTTAAACCGGGGAGAGCTCTCCGTAAAGCGGCTAAATTGACCCAAGCGCTCCATTATGGTCCATGTAATAATTTGCTGAAAATGCCATAACAATTTTAGTGCACTCACCATTAGTATCGGGATATGTAGGCCGTGATAATGGGCGACATTTACACAAGTATTTTCAAAGTGTTATTATTGTATACAAAGGAAAAAGTTTATCCTCTTCATCACCAGAACAAACAGATTGGTGTCTTTACTTACCTGATTAATATTAATAATGTAAATAATCATTTAATATGTACAGCACTTTAAAACACAGAGCTGTGATTTACATATAGGAGAGAGTGGACAAGAAAAATCACAATGCACAGAAAGGCAAACAGAAACTTAAATAAACTCATTAATAATAATATAATATATTCATACATCACACTTATCAGATCACAGTGAAACGCACACACTGCACGGTGCATACACAGACAGAATCTATGGAAACACGGACATATAAATGAGTTTGTAGCACTAGTTTAAGAGACCACAGATTCAACAGACCTGATGATCTTGGGTGAATGTTCAAGTGTTCAGGAGCTGCCTCTTCAAATGCATGATCACCTCTCAGTTTGTGTGCAAGTATCTGATAAAAAGCCCTGATCAGATGATCAGTAAGTCATTTATATATGCATTCTGTACTTTACTGGAAACCAATGAGGAGAAACAATTATCAGAGCAACTTGAAACTGAAGACTAATATTTGTTAATAACCTACCTGTTGTGTTTTTGACCAGTTGAAGACGTGCTATGGAGGTAAACGTGTTCAATGTAGACGTGCTCACACAGCTCACACCCTCCACCTTGACATGCTAACTGCTATGGCCTTACAACTTTGTTACAACCCTGTTTCCATTTAAATAGCCCCCTCTGAGGTGCTGATTTAAGTGTTTTCATTAATTTAAAAGTGCTCAGTCCTCAGCAAACATCTGTACTGTACACTCCATCATTATGATTGAATACATTTGAATTAATGTACTGCATGTATTAACTTGACTTACTGTATTACTGAAGCGCTGTGCGACTTGCAGCCACATGAATCAGAACAAATGCTGATTCATAATCACCCCTTTGTTTTTTTGTTTCTTCTTCATCCAGTGCAGCTCTGTAGCATGCTGCCTGATTTATGATGATTAATTATTTCAAAGTTTTTTATTATAAGTACAGCTGTTTGAAATGGGGTCTTCCCCTATGGTTTGCATTTCTCCATCTAGCTGATAAAGACCCACAGCAGCAGCAACCTCATGCTCCGCTGACAAATCATATGATGGTTGCTGGATGGTTGATTACATTAACATATCCAGTACAGAGGCCAAGTTTTCCTCATTCTTCTACTTTTGTAACTATCCCTATAACTATAAGTTTGTTCTCCTGCACATTATACCGGTCTTTTCTGCTGGAGTTGGAGTGTTGTTGTTTTTTAATGGTGGAAGGGGACAGCCAGGCCAAGTTCTACGAGGGTGCAAAAGGTTGCATTGTACCCTCATTTAACATTTCTGCACCCTCAATTTAGTGGATGCAAAAAAAAAAAAACAATGAATGAAAATCGTTTTTCTTTTTTACATTAAGTAATCAGGGCTTTCAAATGACAACAGTGACTCAGATCATGTTTATTACATCCATGATCTGATGGTCATGACACGTGCACGTGACCTGTCTGTTCACAGGGGACCACATGCGAGATGCTCGGACCCATAACACCCACATATGCTGATTGTCAACAGGCAAGGCAGGCAACTTCTTGGGGCCCCAGTCCAGTAGTGGGGCCTCGAGGGTTGACAAACATTACACCACAGCAGTGGCTCAAAATGTGAAAATGTTTCCAATGACAGTAGGAACCTCCCTAAGGGGGCCCCATCTGACAGCACCCACACTCGTTGTTTTGAAAACCAAAGACCAAAGAAAGAGTAAGTAAAAAGGAAGAGGAGTAAGCGTTGGAACACTGGTGGTGATAAACGCTGATTGGAGGGCCCTCCAATTAATTTTTACCTCGGGCCCCAATAGACTGTAGAATCACCACTGATAACACCTACGCTATTTTTCATTGCTGTTACCGGTCACTGTAGCTGCATCCCCTTTAATGTTAGATGCACCATAAGTCATTTTGATTTTAGAACTGGGCCTGTATCCAGCCAATGTTACACCAAGTTAGGCTGATCAGTAGCGGTAACATCTCTCTGTATGAAATAAAAAAAAGAATTATCCCAATTATGTTGGTGAAGTGACAGTTTTCAGCTTTCTTATTTATGTGTTTGGAAACAGCTTGTCTGTCTCTGTTCAAATTTAACAACCAGCAGCACCATTACCCTTGAAGCTACTAATGTACACTTCGTCTTGTTTGACCGGTTTGACCTTTACGGGTGCGCACAGACTTATTTATTCACACAGAGCCAGGCTAGCTGTTTCTCCTTGCTTTCAGTCTTCATGCTAAAGCTGAGATGAGCTAAAAAGCTGGCTCAAGTTTCAGAACAATTAGAAGATATGAATACATTATAAATCAGCTCATCCAACTCTCAAGAAAGGGAATGAGTGTGTATTTCCTTAAATGTCTGACTTCTGTGTTAGAGTGGTATTCCTGCCTTTAAGTGCATAAAAAACAGGTCAAGCTGATCATCAAGCTGTTCAGCACTGTATGGCTTTTTGTTGCAAGCACTTTCCTCTTTCTTCAGAACAGTTTACATTGAAATTTACTGTTACAACATGTAAACGTCCAAGCCAAATTTAAAGGTAACTTAATGACTTAGAGATTATTTTCTCACAGTAGGGGAATAAACTCTTCTAAAACCAATAAGGACATTCAAAAACTGTTAAGAGCTCTGTTATATGGCTTAATGCAGCATTCAATTCTTGATGTGTAGACGGGAAAAAAAGCGAACACTTCAGAAAAAGGGATCAACAGACAGAAAAATGAAAGTTGGTATTTCTATAATATGTCAATGCGGCTTTTATCATTTTCTATTTCCACTTTGCAGACACAGGTGTTGCAGTGTTTCTTGTGGAGGATGTTGTTTACATGACTCGGCAGCAACGTGTTTAAACAGAGCTGTCACACAAAAGAGTTCTTTCTGTGATCGCCTTGAGACAGAAACCAACCAGAGGAAAAAGTTACGGCTTTTGTGACATGTTTTTGAATGTATTAGATTATCTGGACAAAAAAAACATTTTCTACATGCACTGGCTGTCATGCTGTTTTTGTACTCAGAGGTGTGTTTGCCACTTGAGGCAGGAATTCATTCACATACTTCAGGGCGTCAGTTAAGCTCATCGGTTAAAATGTAAAATGTGCGCAATGTAAGGAGGACATAGTCCTTGAAGCGGGGAGTCTGGGATCAACTCCGACCACTGCATTTCCACTGGTTTCCAGTCCATCCACTTTCCTATCCTCTGAATAAAAGCATGAAAACCCCCCAGAAAATAATCTTTAAAAAAATAGACTACAGGGGGTGCAGGATGGTCTAGCGTTTGTGACGCACACCCCGTGTACAGTGGCTGCAGTCCTCGTCTCAAAGGCCGAGGGTTCAAATCTGGCCTCGGCCCTTTGCTGCATGTCATGCCCCACTCTCTCTCCCCAGCGTTTCCAGTCTCTCTTCAGCTGTCCTAATCTAATAAAGGCAAACTCGCCCACTGACAGATTTTATTATAAACTGTATCTAGTTGAAATCCCTCCTTAAATGTAGCCCTTTTCAGCAGATGGAAACATTATTCTGTCTAGAGAGCAATGTAGTTAAAGCTATTGTAGTTCCCTTTCTCCACTAGATGGTGCTATTGTACATCGCACATTAAATCTGGCTCACACGTTCTGCTTTTCTATCAGCCTTTCCGAGTTGTGAATGAGTTCATTCAAACTGAAATATTGCTCCATGTGAGACATCTCCTCTGGCAGATATCGATCACATGCTCAGACAAGAATGAAAGTGATGAATACAGGTTTGTCACCTCTTTTGTTTTCTTGGCAGCGTCTTGTTTTATCTCACTTTTTTTGTACAGACGAGTATAGATGTGTCTAGCCTGTTATCTTGTGCATACCAGCGAGAAGTTGACCTTTCTGTATAATGTCACAGTGGTACACAGAGTTAATGTCTGTGTAAGATTAGTTGAGGGGAAATTTGCC